AACTTGTACTGAAAGTCGACTATGTGCCAGACACTTCAAGTATGTTATCTCATCTAATCTTTCAAAATACCACAAAATGGTTATTACTATCCTCATTTTACAAAGAAACTAAGGCAACAGGCAATATTTTTTTAATGACAAAAAGCCCTTCATGAAAACAACTACATTATATATTGTCATCCAAAGATAAACAGAAAGAAAACACTCAATTGTTTAAAAAAATCATTTTAAAACAACTTTTAAAATAAATATTTTCAAATTGAAAAGGACTTGAGAAATTTACATCCCACAAACATTTCTTAAGAAGTTACTCAAGCATGTACTCCAGCAAAGTGAAGGCATAAACAAAAAAAGAGTTAGACGTGGAAAAAGGAAACAGCACTTTCAGCCATGAAAAGAAATAAAAAGAAATTCCAGGATGATAACTCTGTTGTAGGGTTAAAGTCCAGAATGGCACAGAAGGATGAAGCAATCTGGATCTAAAAGCTTAGGGGAAAGACTTGATAGAACTGATGGGATTAAGAGCCTAGAAAAATTTTGAGACATTAATAAAGACAAATAACATATAAACATATAAAGAGGCAATTAGAAATACCAGGAAGAAATGTTTTAGGAAGTCAAGGTACAAATATGAAGAAACTAAAAGGTGACACAAATGTAAACCACTGTAAGAGTGAAAAGAAAGCATCTGTTTGACTTTGGTGCTGGATATATCATCTTTGGACTGGCCGAAGAGTCCTGACAGCAGACCCAATGTGCAAGTCTAAGTAAATTATATTTATAGAATCACAATAATGTAATTGTTGTCTATGGATTTTCAACTTCAAGAATAATTTATAGTCCTGGCTGGTGTGGCTCAATGGATTGAGCACCAGCCTGCAAAACGAAAGATCACTGGTTTGATTCCCAGTCAGTGCACATGCCTGGGTTGCAAGTCAGGTCCCCAGTTGGGAGTGTGCAAGAGGCAACTGATCGATGTATTTCTCATGCTTCGACATTTCTCTCCCTCTCCTCCTCCCTCCCTTCCCCTCTCTCTAAAAATAAATAACTAAATTTTTTTTTAAAAAAGAATAATTTATGAATAAAAAGGTCAATGTGGGGGGAAAGCACAAAACTTTTATTGGTAATGGGTTACGAGCTTCAGAATGTTAGAGTATCATTGATAAAAATTACATTATGTAACTGGTAGCTACCCAAACCTCCTTGACTTACAAAATGGAGAGTCAAGAAATACTGTCAAAAGTTCACCCCAAAAATAACAAAGGTGACCCAACAAACTAAAAACAATATAAATATTAAATTTAGAAGAGGGAGAAAAAACTTAAGAAGCTACATTCTCACTTTCATATCAGGAGTTAAAGTTGGTAAGACAAAAAATAGTGATAAATGCATATTAAAGTTAAGAAGGTAACAATCTAAGAATTAAATACAGAAACAGTTAAAAAAATTAAAACGTCCTCTTTGTGAGGTTTAAGGAGGTGAAGGAAACCATTGTTTTTCAACAAAAGTCCTTCTGTTCTATTGGGTTTGTTTGTTACCAAGTGCATAAATCACTTTGGCAAAAATAATTTTCTACCACACATTTCAAAAAAGGCAAAACACGAAAATTATTACTAAAAATTGGGAGTGGAGGCAAATATTATAATTGGAATTGTATTTAAGAGTGGGGATAAAATATTTTTTCTAGTAAAATGTTATTCAAATAAAAATTTTCTGCAATGGGAAGTTCTACTGAAGCCAGATCATTTTATTCTTTATAATTCTCTATTTTCTGGTTTATGTACAATAAACATGTATTCCACTTATAACCAGAAATGTTTTAAAATTTTAATGTGATCAATGTGCAAAGTCAGTGTGCCAGGCTGCTAAGAGCCCAATACCACCACACACGTCCTGATTTTTTATCTTTAGAGGACAGCAGGAACAGTGCGGTCGTTTTCAGAGGCCCTGTGTTTTTTACATTCGATCCTCTGTGGTTACATGCTACCCTGAAGGAATGCCTGAACAGCACAGGATGAACACTCAGGAAAGGTGCCCTTCAAGATGTACCAGAAAGTGATTATATCATATGTCGAGGAACAACCTTCCCTGAGAAAACGACAAAAAGCTCTTTAAGGCATCTTAGATGTCCAGGCTTTATTTCCCATTAAGCTCATTGTTCAGCTGGTGAAGTGACATGTGGATAAAGGTGGGAATCGGGAAACTGCTCTGTAAGCAGAGGGCAACAGATTAGAGGTCCAATCCAGGATCTACCATTAAATAACCACATGATTTTCCCAAAGTTAAGTCATCACTGTTTCCTGTCCTCAGTTTTCTAGAAGAAAAAAAAAGTGGCCATCGTCATTTCTAAAAACACTTTGATTTCTGATTTAGAAAGCCTTTGACTCCTGACCTAGGATTCTACTGCTAGTCAGCCCCATTTCACAAATGATGGAGCAAAGTAATGAATCGATTTTATGAAAATTAAATCAAGGTTACTTGCCATCATTTTTCAAACTTAATCCACCAAAATACATTGCCTTTTGAGGTTGTGCAACAAAGTGTGACATATAACATTTGCCTTATTCCAACTTTAAACAAAGATCCAATAGAAACTCAGAGAACTCTTGGCAGATTGCTAATCTTGAAAGACAGTAGTCATGATGACTTAATTCCTTTAATTCCTTTAGCTACTTGGCCAAAAAAATTTCCAGGGATAGCATCAGATCAGGCTAGCCTATTACCTACCTGTTTTTTCAGCTGTTGTGTTCACTGACAATCCAGTGAAATGAAGATGCATTTTACTTTGGGCTGGGAAGTGGTTGTAGTTGGGGAGATGGGCAGACGAATCAGAGCAACTTTCTTTCTAAACTCAAGGCTAACTCACACTCTCACCCTAGTTTCACAAACATAGTTCTGAGCTACTCCAATCATTCAAAACATATATATATATAAAAGAATTTTTTTTGTTTTGCTTTTACTTGAGGGTCTTTTATTAAACCTAGCTTTCCTCAGATAATGGGCAAGCCCAGATCTTAACTTCCTATATAGTTGTCTATGTATATTCATAAACACAGTTTAAAAATCATTTGGGTCCAAAAAAAGATCCCCTCTAAATTATTGTACATTATTATTGTTCCTTCTTCTACTTTATTTCTTCCTAAGTCCATTTCTATAAAAGTCACAATAAAAATTCAAAACTGCAGTTACTTCTTAATACAAAATGCTAGCTATTTGGGACCTTTATGTACTCTGGAAACTAATGTCATCCTTCAGAACAACACCATCACATTTAGAAAGATGTTATGTTCTTACATCATGTACTTGAATTCCACCAGCCATTTAAAAATCAAAGAACTGAGTACATGTCCATACTGTCACTCAGCAACAGGAAGAAGACCAGTGGTGGAATAACATAGCCATCAAATCTGTTTCAGGACAAGTGCTTCTCAGCATTGCACTAACCACAGAAACAAAATAAAAATCTCCTCCTTGCACAAGATGTCTACAGCACTGGGATGGGGGAAGGAATAATTGGCCACCAATATGAGTCAAAGAGTTGGTCATAATAAACCTCATCCATCACTGTGTATTAGTTATTAGGGCCCTTGGATAACAATCAAAGTATCACATATTCATGCCAAAGAAAGGACTGAGCCCTGACTGGAGCGGCTCAGTAGATTGAGCGCTGACCTGAGAACTGAAAGGTCGCCAGTTCCATTCCCAGTCAGGGCGCATGCCTGGGTTGTTGGCCAGGTCCCCAGTTAGGGGTGTGCCAGAGGCAACCTATTGGTGGTTCTCTCCCTTTTTGTCTTCCTCCTTTCCCTTCTCCTAAAAATAAATAAATAAAGTCTTAAAAAAACAAAAGGATTGATTATATTTTGTAAGTAGCACATAATGTCTCAACATCACATTCAAACTAAGACTACTCCATCAAAGACACATGGGCTTTAAATAAAAAAAACTCTAAAGGCAAGTTCTTGGGAAAGAAGTTTCCCTCAACAGCTGAGAATGGCCAGCCAGGGAAGGAAATCCCAAACCAAGTGGTCCAGCTGGCACAACTTCCATCTAGGCCATGGGTAGCCTGACCCTCCATGACCTCACTGGTTACCTTAAGTTCCAGCTCAGTTTCTCCTCTGGAACATAATTATCTTAGGGTGCCACAATTGAAACAATCTTCCTTGTATCTGTGAACATATTTTCCTGTACAGTCTAACACGAATCTAATGTAACATTCATTACATCAAAAAGTCAGAACAACGTGAAGGGAAGAATGACAAAGCAGACTCCTGATTCGATGGTATTTTAAGTTACCAAGATATAATGACATAATAAAACTCCTGACCCAATTTCCACACAATTCATTTGTCCAGCCCACAACTACTTCACCGCGCAGTTGTTAATTACATCATTGCGCTGATTGGTCATTACATCACCAAGATGGGAGTGGGGAGACCTACCAGTCAGTGTTCACTTTTCCAGCTTGCCCTTCCCCATAACAGAGAGGCTGCAGACCACCTCCGCTACCGAGAGTCCTTCTTCTCCCCAAGCCTCAGAACTTTTCTCACGTGTATCTTGGTGTCACATCGCAATGGACCAGGCTCTCAGGAATCTTACTTAGAATGTGCAGGGAAGTGGGTAAGGGTTTGTGCCCCGGAGTCTGTAACAATACTTCATCTTCAGGACAAAGTCACCTATGTGTTTCATGAGGATCCTCCCCCGACCACCACCATCAAAACTACTTTTATTTCTCCAACCTCTAAGAGTTTCTGTGTCCCGAATCTCTTGCGACGCCCTGGAAGAACGTCACCAGACTCTGCTTCTGGTCCGTACCTTACAATTCCAATAGCCAGGACCCACTCCTTACTTCCCAGTTTCCTAGACCTCTGGGAAAGATACCTCGAAGGGCACACCATCACACACTCACATGCCAGCGAGCGCGCGGGCCCTGAGCGTCGTGACTCTGTATGTCCCCCCCCCACCCCACCCCCACCCCTACCCCTCGCTCCAAGCTGACTTACTTGAGGAAGTACCTCTGGCCAGTAGCCGTGAAGGTCATCTCCCAGCCCGGAGGCAGCGGCAGCTCGTCGGTCACATCGTAGGACTGCTGGCGGAGGTGCGCGTGCTGCTGCGCGGCACTGCCCGCAGCGCCCGCGCCGGTGCCCAGCTGCAGGGACGCGGGCGACGAGTGCGAGCGAACGTGCTGGGCGCCACCGACCAGCCGGGGCCCCGGGTGGCCGCCGGAGGAGTCGGTGCTCGACTGGCGCGAGTGCGAGCCGGAGTCAGGCTCCTTGAAGAACGATTCTGGCAAGATCTTCTTCCGCCACGAACTGGGCTTGGGGTTCATGACCGAGTTGAAGAGGGCTTCGAGGTCTGTGTCTAGGTCCTGCGTGACGTGGATCACTTGCTGCCCGGGCGGCGGGAGCGGAGGGGGCGCCGAGGCCGGATTCATCTTCTGCAAGGAAAAAGGTCAAATCAACCTTTTACTTAAAGTCAGAGGAGAGGGTACGAGGAGAAAATGGAGAGAAAAGAGACAGATAGGGGTCCGCCTTGGGATCCAAGACTCAGTCGTTAAGATCAGCCGGATGGGGGAGGGGTCCCTCCGGTCCTCCGGAATTATGCAACTTTCTTGGAGCAAAGAAGTTACTGAGGAGCAGGAAAAGCAGGGAGTGCGGGGCGGGGGGTGGGCGGCGGCGAGGGGAAGGTAGCTGCATTCGGGATGTTACTGAACTGTTGATGACAAAGAACAGGTCGTAACTCTCCAGGGCAGGCAAACCCCCCCGAAAGAAGTCTCAGCCCAAGCCAACACCACATCTCGACCCCGGAAGCCCCAGGGGCCGGGTGCCCTGGAGTGAGTGGTGCGCGGGCGCGCTCCAGTGGGCACTACCTGGGCGCGCAGTGAAGCCGAGTCTGGGCGTGCGGCGGCCGCCGTCGGGCCTGGGTCGCTCGGATGCGTCCCGAGCTTGCAGGACTGGAGCCGGAGCCCGGCTGGCAAATACCGACCCGCCTCGGTGCCTGGCAGTCGAAGGGCTTCGGCTCTCACATCCCCAAAACTGGCCTCAGACGTTCGGGATCTCGGAGGAGGAGGCGAAGGAGAAGCAGACAGCACGGCCGCCGCGGCTCCTGGACTGTCCCATAAACAAAGTTTGGAGCAAGCTCCCACTCCCAGGAAAGAGGCGGGCCGAACGTTGAGCTGTTGAATTATGCATGACCTCCAAGCCCTGAGCCTGCCTGCCCCCGCTCGTCCCTCCCCTTCCTCCTCCTCCTCCTCCTCCCCCACTCCGGCTCCAGAAAACCTTGGGCGTGATGGGTACTTTGCAGGCTAAGAGAAGACGGGTGTCCCCCACCCACTCCTCTTGGTCGTGCAGACCTCTCCCGCGGAGACCTGGATATGCATTCCTTTGAGTTTACCACGGACTTGGGGCGGGATCAAAGGGAAAGTGACCAGAGCCTGTTTAATCAAGGATTTGTGGACCGAAACCAAGGCCGGAGGCGGCGAGGGCACGCGGGTGAGGGGCCCAGATCGAGGCAGGGCCGGTCCTGGGTGCCGCGCCCTCCCTTCGTGCCGGGTGCCAAAGCCGGGAGCGCCCAGAACGCCGCACTGATCTGCGCTTCTGCCCGAGGGCGGACCCGGGTGCGCCCCTGCAAGGGGAGACACCAAGGCCAGCCTTTCCAAGGGAGGCTGCTTAAGCGCTTGTGACCATATTTGGTCTGGCGAGGAGGCATCTGGCTGTTTGGCTTTCAATTGTCTGCTCGAGCTCAGACGGTGCCCAGATAGTGCCTCTGTTGTTAGAGATGTGGCTTCACCAACGGGTGCGTTGTAAACAAACAACCTTCAAACCATTCATCAATCCTTAGTTTCCTCTCCGGGGTGAATCAGGTCACTGGGGATTGAGAAGAAATTTAGACAAAGCTGGGTGCTGGAAAGGGAGAGCAATCCTGGGCCCCTCCCCCGCCACATCCGCGCGGGTAGTGGGAGGATTGGAATGTCCCTGACGCCCTCCAGAGAGCCTGGAACCGGGATGGAACCCAAGCAGGTGACTGGAAGTAAAGAGGGTGCGCCAATGACCCGGAAAAAGCCACCCACCCTCCTCCGGACTGAATCCGGGCTAGGGGTAGGGACCCCCTTGCCCCTAGATCTAGCCTGGCATGCCAGCTGCGGTAAGCAGTAGGCGGCCTTGCCCTCCGGAGTAGCTCAATTCCTTTCTTCTGTCCCGTCTCCATTGGTGGAAAGGGAAAGTGGCTACTAGGTAAGACACGCTTCACAAAACCCCTACCTTACCCTATTTGATTTATATAGAAGTTTATGAAGTCAGTCAAAAAATACAATATATGTTAAGTGCTTTGAACAGCACCCAGTTGTTCATACCTGTTTGCTAAATAAAATAGAATTGTATTAAGTGCAACTGCTGTGCTTCAACATTTTTATAATGATGAAATAAAAGTCAAAATTATAATCTGGAGTTGCCTTGAAGAAGAAAAGTTTACAGGAAAGACAAGGCCACCCTATAGTTTTGCCTTGGAAAAGGTAGGAGTTTTGGGGGCCATTCCTCAATGGCTACTGCTCATCATTGCCTAAAATAGAGCAGAGCCCACCAAAGTGAACCACCTTCCCCCATTATTTGTCCTTGTGGGTGTACTCTGATCCCAGGCTTTCCATAGAGTGGTACAGATCAGCGTTGCCTGAGAGAAAAACAACCACATGGGAACACCTTCAAAGATAAGCAGAGCATGGCTCCTTTCAGGAGACTGGAACTCTGGGTTTCCCAATACAGAAATTCCTCTACCCACAGGATGCGCATAGAGAAGGGGGAAGCCACCAAAAGTGACACCATAGAAAGCGACATCTTTGCAAAAGCTATCTTCAGAAACCACCACAGTTTCAACAATGGGGAAATTAGCTATGAAACTAGAAGTGACTGGGACCCCATGGTTACTCATTCAGAAGTCACAAGGCTGATCAGATGATTAAATGATGGAAACCTGAGGCCAGCCCTACTCCAGGAAGGTCCTCACCCAAGAAGGAAGGCCCTGTTTGTAAAGAGTACCTGGCTGCTAAAAGAAAAAAATGCTGAGGGAGCCATGAAGCTAATCCTGTCATGAGAATCAGGGTTAGGATTGGATGGGCAAGAATATTGTCTTCATTCCTTAATAAGTTCCAAGAATTAGAGAGTGAAGGACAGATGATCAGATACATGAAATGGAAACTAAACAGCAGAATAACTCGGTCTATAAGATGTTCTCAAACAGTCTAAGATATGATAGTGAATAGTTAAAGAGATTTGTTTGAGTCTCCTTCGTCCTTCCAACAATAACTTCAGGTTAAATAACATTGACATGTACCTTGTATGTATCAGGTACTGTCCATATGAAGCAGCATAGTGTAGCAGATATCTGTATAATCTCTACAGCAAAATACGTAAATTCTTTATCCTCAGGTTTCCTTCTTTGAAAATTAGGGGCAATAACAGTACCCACCTCACAGGATTCTAGATCTAAACTAACAGGCATAACTCGGAGATATTGCAGACCACCGTAATAAAACAAGTGTATTCTTTTCGTTGGTGGAGGGTCTTGCCTTCAATTTGTTTTTTTAAAAAACACATTTGTTAAGTGCAGTAAAGTTAAGCACAATAAAGCAAAGCACAACAAAAAGGACATGTACAAATTTTATCTGTTGACCCATGATTTAGAATATAAGCTTTGAAGTGCCCATCTCTACTCTTGTTGGGCAAGTAACTTAGTCTCCTTAAGTCACAGATTATTTATTTACAAATTGGAGATAATATTCTAGTCTGTGACATTGCTGCCCTTCAATGGATAACCCTCCTGTTAGTTACACCCTCACGTAGTCCCTTCCACTTAAATCTGGACTGGGCCAATGATTTGCCTTAACCAGGAAAATGAAGCAAAGCTGTTGTAGTTTCCTACCCTAACCCCTGAGGTGTGGAAGTTTCTGGTTTTGTACTTTTGGGAGACTTAAGCCACTCTAGGTAGGAAATCCAATTAAGCCAGTGGAGAAAGAATGTGGAGAGAGAGGCCCTGAGATCTGTGGAGAGAGGGAGAAGTCCAGCCACCCAGAGTCTGAGCTCCACCCAGCCCTCAGCCGACCCACAAGCTGACTGCAATCACCCCTCTGACACCATTAAGACCTATAAAAGAACCATAGAACCAGATTCTAGAACTGGGAACAAATAAAATGGATACTGTTTTAAGCCACCAAATTTTGGAATTTTTTTAAATACAAAATGGGCATTCTGAGGATTAAATAAGAAAATGCAAATAAAGTTTTTAACACAAATTTTGTCAAATACTTAAGCACTCAGTAAATAATGGCTGTGATTTAAGTCTCACAGAGACCCCAAAGAAAACCATATTTTGCCGTATATAATGTGTATAATGAGCACTTTCTTGACCAAATTTTTGAGGGACAGTAAGGATGCACATTATACATGGGTAGTTCTAATTCTGTATCTATATAAATGTTTTTAATGCTTTAATAAATGTTTACACACTAAAAATGTTACTCTAGAAAGCAATAACAATATCTGTATGCAAAATAATACGCTGGAACACAATAATCGGTTTTGTTGACATTTTTAAATTGAACTAAAAAATTAAAACGAAAGATTGTTTTCCTGAAAGGTTGGGCCAAGAACGTGGGTGTGCATAGACATGGCAAAATACAGGGTAGATAATATATGCCCATTTTACAGATATAGAAACTAACCAAATGAGTTTTAAAGTTTTTGTCTAAGTACATACAAAGCGTTTTTGAAAAAAACAAAAACAGCTGGGATTCAATCCAGGGTTTGTAATCCTAGATCAGATTGCTTTTTCCACTCTCCCATCCTATGTGAGCCAGAAGTTGCTCCCTTGCATTATCATTTTAAATCAATGTAATATCTACTGCCTGCCTATCTCATAGAGAAACTCCATAGTTTTTATAAGATAATCAATTGAGAGAACACTCCCGCAGATATGTAAATCTTTCTCTCCACTTGCAAAGACTTTTCCACTGAAACTGCATGCCTGCTTCCTAATTTCCCCCTCAACACACTTGCTACTGAAAGCCTCCCTGAGTCAGCCATCCCTCCGCATCCAACCAGTGGCACGTACCATCATTCTTTCTTCTGGTGTCCCTCAAATCCATCTCTGCTTTCCCGCCTCCCACAACAGGACCTTATCTCAAAACACTTGCAGTGGCCTCCTAACTGGTTTCTCTGCCTCCACTCTCTCATTTCTAGCTTCCTGATTTCATGATGTCATCTCCTGGCTCACAAGCATTTAACAACTGCCCACAAAAATAAAGGTCAAAACTACCAATCTAACACCCAAAGTCTCCCAACAAACTGCTATCTCCTAGCTTTCCGACTTGAATTCTTACACAACTCTGTCCCTTGTCCACTCCAGCAGGCTAGACCCCCAGCATATTTGGCCTATTCTTTCACTACACCACTGTCTTTGTTTGAACCCTGCTTATAACTGCCCTCCATACTCCATGGAGAGCCTCATTAATCTCTCCTTTTCCCTAAATTTAAGTTATTCTTGTCTTTTTCACTTCCTTGACACATAATTATACATAACACTTACCTCAGTATCCCTTGCCTCCTCCCCTGGACCGGAAATAGGTGTGGGGCTAGAAACATCTTAACATTCCCTTGTGGAATTAGGTCGTGACTCCTTGTTAAGGACAGAATGATCCTTATATGATTTTGCCCATTCTTCTTTAACACCCCCCCCCCCCGCATGCCCCCCGCCCCCCCCCCCGCCCCCCGTTGGTGTGCTTGTTACAATTTGTAAGGTATCTCCCCACCATTCAAAACAATGTTGACACTGGGTATAGACTCAACTCCTAAACAAGATCACAAGCTTTTTGAGAACAACTTTAAGAGGATTTTTTGTTTTCTTTTTTGTTTGTGTGTATTTTGTTTCTTTGTGCCTACCAAAGTTTTCTCCGCACAGAAGGGTCCAGTATATGTGGCCACCTAGCCCAGTGGCTATTGTCCCAACTATGTCATCTGCCATTTTTGCCTCAGTAAAGTCACAAGCTGCTTTTCCCAGCCCTACCTACCCCTTTAAAATGCTGAGTTGGTCTGAGTGATTGCAGCTAAGGTGAATGGTCAGACACCGGGTAGGATGGGAGGACTCTGGCCCAGGAGTTCCTTGG